GTTGTATGTTTCATCTTTGCTAAATTGCACCATGACTGGCTCATCTCCTCCCTGCAAAACAATGGTTTCTTTATAGAAATTTTGAAACTGAAAAAATCTGTGGCCCTGACACCTGAAAATAAGTTTTGATCTTGCCCCAGGAATAGTATGTCCCATTATCTTGGAAGATTTCCAGGAAATAATAATACTGAATCTACAGAGTCCCTTTGTGAAGTAAACGAGACCCCTTGGAAAGAAGCATTAGGCTTCCTTATGGCGCCTTTTTAACCTTTGGCAATTCCATTCCTCCCACACAGATCCTTCCTCCACCTCCACATTTCAGATCAAGAATCTGCTGCCATCAAATCCTGTGGTCCCCTTAGAATTACTCGTCTTGAGTGCTCTCCATCTTTTGACTGTCTGTCTCATTAAAACGGTTTCTTCTTCTACGGGCGGCTCGGTCTCTCTAAGAGGAAGAGCACACTGCTCAGGAAACCATGGCACCCAGTTTTTAGCCCTGCTCTGTCATGTGATCTCTGCAAAATAAGAAACTCAAACGAGGTCTCTAGTCATCTTCCCGATTCTCAAATTCTATGGTCCAAGAATTTCCCTTTCTCTTAATACTTGTCTGTGTCTTGGGGCTATGTTTGTTGGTTTGATCTTTGCATCAACTCTTCAGCATATTTAAGCGTCTGGCCTTGTATATCTCTCTCATCTAAACCAGTGCTGTCAAGTCCATTTTAACTCCTGGTGACCCATGTGTGTCAGAATCAAACTATGTCCCATACTGTTTTCAGGAGATCACCAGGTCTTTCTTCTGAGGAATCCATGGGTGGATTCGGACCTCTGAACTTTCGGTCAGCAGCCAAATGCATTAGCCATTTGTACTACCCAGGAACACCATTCTCATCAACTCCGAATGAGAGTTTCTAAATCTCCATCCTCCCAAACACTAGTGTCATGTTTTCAGTGGTATGTTGGCTCCCTACCTCTCAACCAAATAAAATATGAACTGCTTAGCCTGGCATTCTGATTGCTGGAGCTGGCTCTAGCCTAGCTTATCAGTACTCACCTTCATTTCTTCCCTTCATAGGCTTTCCCTTCCAGAGCACATGCCTACTTCCTTCCTTCCTTCTGCTTTCCCTTCCCTTTTCCTACAAATCCACACAAAGTGCAATTGCAACGACCTTTTCCACAGCATTTTTCTTATATCACACACTCAGTCTGCTCATTTCTACCTCCAGAATCCTCATTCTTTAAAGCCCAGTGGTGCTCAATCGGGCCTCATGTAGGAGACATCTGTGATCACCCTAGGAATCTCTTGGAGATGCTTATCTATCGCCTTTAAGCAATTGAAATGGCTTATCTTCCCACCTCTCTGGAATTAGGACTCATATTCCAATAGCTAATGGCCATGCCGCAGCCATCGCATGGTTGTGTTTGCTACAGTGTGTTAAATGAAAATGTGCAGATACGCTTTTGCCAGTTGGGAAGAAAATTCTGGAAACAATGGTGGAACATACGTGGTAAACAAACAAAACACTGCCTTACTCGTGGTGTAGCTAGCACAGAGGGCAATGCTGTGTGAAAAAAGCAAAAATAAAACAAAA